GCTCAGATGGCAGGAATGTGTAAGAAGGAAGGACACGAGGAAAAGGTAACCACAAAGAGGAAATGGGAAGAAAACCATTCCATTGTGGGGATTTGTGGTGTCATGAATTACTTAGTATGGCTCATCTAGCCATGGCCTTTGTGACTGCTGCCAGATGGCTGGGTGGAATCATGCAAAATGTAAGGTTCTTGTGGCCCACCAAGAGGATTGGACAGCTTGCTAATAATGTAAATAAGGTATATGGTACCCTTGTGAGGGTGGGACTGTGCAAATATACATAGAAACCTAATGGGCTGATTAGTATTGTCATTCAACTAATGACAAACTAAAATGAGCCCTCCTAAAGCAGAAGCCCTGGTGGCACAGTGCCTAAGGCATCTGACTCAGCATACAGATTGATAAGTATAGTAAAAGGGTATAACCCTGACACACATTCTTTTTGATTTTAAACCATGCTAACCAGAAGATTGGCAGTTCAAAATCCACCAGGTGCTCTGCAGAAGGAAGATGGGGCAATCTATTTCCATAAAGATTTATTGCCTCAGAAACCCAATGGGGCTCACTATGAGTTGGAACCCACTTGATGACAGTGCTGTTTTTTTTTTTTTTTAAAGGGGGTTGGGGAATGTCACTACTATCAAAAAGAACAGCCTGGAGTAGAGCCCGTCCTCAAAACCAAGATGCCTGCACTGAGAAGATGGCAGAGACAGCAACAGCAGAACCAAGACCAATATGAGACAGTGCAGTGGGCTTACCAGTCCACAGAGCGAAAAAGCTGAGTGCCTTTGGGTAGGAGAGGTGCACTTATTAGCAGAGCTAAAAAAGCTTTGTAACAGTTGCCTGAGTAGGGCAGAGACCAGGCCAAGAGGCCAAGGGATCGAGGACCAAAGAGAAGCATGCCTGCAGTCATGGCCGAGGGGAGGGTATCCAGATTGAAGAACTGTATGCTGAGTATTCCTGAACCTGAATTATTAACATATTGTTTACCTAATAATCGTCAGTACTGTATTTGAGTTCTGTGTGGCCACTGCAACTTACTTCACCCAACAAAGAAGCAGAGTGCCATGGGAAGGATGGTTGGTATCAGAATCAATACAAAGGCTGGAGGGTGACAGCATGTCTGGCCTCACAGGAATAAGCCTAGGGCTGCTGGCAGTGATTCTCTCTCCCCCTTGTGAAATTAGAGAAGGTATGCTGTCACCATGCCCTTTTTGCAAGATTGCAATCAGTCAGAAAGGAAAATGTGTATAAACTGTTTAAGGGAAAGCAAATTCACTGTGTAAACTTTCACTCAAGTCACAACAACAAAAAAAGAAAAATTCCATGCAACTGGTTTGCTGTTCCCTCATTATGCCAACCTCTATTCTCATATCCTGCTGCTTCAAAATTTCCAGGATACGACACAATCTCCAAGAGCCTGAAAAACATGGTATCACAGTCTGCCACAAGAGGGCAGGCTTCATTAACAGAACTTACGCACTAAGTAGTTCCCACTCACAAACTCACTCTTCTACCCAGAGACCCTTTTTTCTGAAGACTGAGGAGCAAAAAGAAATCTGGCATTCCATGAGCAAAAATCCTTAGCAGGACTCTCTAAGCACACCACAGGAAGGGGTAAGGGCTTTTAACTCCAAATTTGGTGGGGTTTTTTTTTCCCCCTTTTTTAAAGAATGTAACATAACAGTTCAGCGAAGAACCTCAACTTTCCTAGCAAATCTTATCCTTTTCCCATTCTAAAATAATTCTTTCTGTATTACTAATTTCCTTCCAGCTTTAAAGTGTGTGTGCTCTTCTTTCTGTATTTGTTCTAAACACTTTGATTTGTGCTTTGATTCAGTGTCTCTGTATCTGCCATCCTTGTGCCCTAACACCTCTGCAAGTCAGAATTCACTTCAGCAATCTGAAAATGAGGATTCACAAGCTGAAAAGTACAGCCATTTAGAATGATGTACTCAATGAATATCTTTAACAACTATTACCATGGTAGCCATGCCTGCTCACACATACCCTGTTCCCTGTCACATTAGCATTAGCTACTGTTTATTGAGCACCTGCTCTGCACTTGGTCCTTTGTATACAGTGATCTCTAATTCTCCTACAGTCCTAAAAGACAGGAGTTACTATTCCTTTTTACTAGATGGTCCCAGGTTCAAAGAGATTAAGTAACCTAAGTCACAAATGGCTGAGACCTGTAATAAGCTGCAATCCCAAAGTCCATGCTCCTTTTACCATATCACACTACTTCCTTCCCATATGAATCTATTTACCCCTCAGTTTTCCTGTTTATGTCAAAAGCAGCACCTCTCCTCCTTTCATGGGAAAGATAAGCTGTGTTTCTATTGTGCCAAAGTTATATGGAAACTACCAATTTTTTCTCACCCTATGGTTTTCTGGCATAATTTCCAGGAATGCACTTCAACAAAAACCTAGCACAGACTGCACTTGCAGACAGTTGCTTTTCTCAAGGCCAAAGCATGTACCAAATTTCCTGGACAGTGATGTCTTTTCCCTTGTTCTACAGCTTCTTTGCAGTTCCTTCACACTCTTCTATGGCCATTCTTTTCAGGTATGCTTATACTATATGCAGAGCATTCTAGCAAAAACCACTTACTTTCTCTTAGTCCCATATAGGTAGTAATGTGATAAGACAGCTAGTACAGTTTTTTAGCATTACTGGATGAGTGGACAAACAAATGAAAAAGTGGCACAATTGTGGATCATAATAAATTATGGATAACATTGTAAAAAATGGGAATTCCAGAACACTTAACTGTGCTCATGCAGAACCTGTACAAAGACCAAGAGGCAGTCATTCAAACAGAAAGGGAATACTGACTGCATGGTTCAAAATCAAGAAGGATGTGTGTTAGGGTTATATCCTTTCACCATACTTATTCAATCTGTATGCTGAGCAAATAATCTGCGAAGGTGGACTATATGAAGAAGAATGCAGCATCAGGATTGGACGAAGACTCATAAAACAATCTGTGATATGCAAATGACACAACATTTCTTGCTGAAAGTGAAGATGACTTAGAGCACTTACTAATGAAGATCGAAAACTGCAGCCTTCAGTATGGATTACACCTCAACATAAAACAAAAATCCTCATAACTAAACCGATATGCTGCATCATGATAAATGGAAAAAAGATTGAAGTTGTCAAAGATTTCATTTTACTTGGATCCATAATCAATGTCCATGGAAGCAGCAGTTAAGAAATCAAACCACATATTGCATTGGGCAACTCTACAAAAGACCTACTGAAAGTATTAAAAAGCAAAGATGTCACTTTGAGGATTAAGTTTGTGCCTGACCCAAACCATGGTATTTTAAATTGCCTCATATGTATGTGAAAGGACAAGGAATAAGAAGACTGAAGAAGAATCGATGTCTTTGAACTACAGTACTAGTGAAGAGTAGTGAATATACCCTGGACTACCAGAAGAACAAACAAGTCTGTCTTAGAAGTACAGCCAGAATGATCCTTAGAAGTAAGGATGGTGAGGCTTCGTCTCACATACTTTTGCTATGTTATTAGAAAGGACCGATCTCTGGAAAAGGGCACACCACATTTGGTAGAGGATCAGCAAAAAAGAGAAAGACCCTCAATGAGATGGACAGCGGCTGCAACAATGTGCTCAGAGTCAAGAATTGGGAGGATGGTGCAGGACCAGGCAGTGTTTGCTTCTATCGTACACAGGGTTGCTAGGAGTTGGAAACCACACAACAGCTCCTATCAACAACTTATCCAGAGTATCTGTGCATAAATAGCATTGCTAGATTGATTAAGAATCTGAATCAGTAATACCATCTACCTTTAGAGGAAGCAAAACGAAGTTTGAAACTATATGTGACACTTGTGAGTAGGAAGTCCAGATGGCAGTAAGTCATTCACTGAAGGATTTTAACAGATGCTTTGTTACTCCTGAGGCCAGAAGACAAGGAAGAATCAGAAAGAGTTGAGGACACAAATCTTAGTGATTCTGGCTTCTATGCTCTGAAGTCTTTTTGCCTAATCACATAAATCAGTGAAGAGCTTTTAAAAATCCACATTTCTAGACCCTCACAAGAACATTCTGATTCAGTGAGCTTGGGACAGGGTGCCTAGGTATCTATACATTTTAATCATCAGTTGATTATAATCAGGTAAGTTTGGGAAAGTAGTTAATGGCCCTTACCTTTAACACTATGCATTTTTATCTCAATTCTCATCTAGCTATCCACATTAACCAAAGTATCTTTAAAAACAAACAAACAAAACCCTCTCCTCCCACCTCTATTTTAGATACCCTTCTCAAAAAACACTTCCTCTTCCTAGACAGGCTGACTCTGAAGCTGAAGAACATCCCACATAGATTCTTAAGTAGCTTCAGAGATTATCTACCAAAAAATTTAGACAATTTAATTCTGGATGGTCTAAAAGCATGCTTAGAATAGAGACAATGGCTCACAAATTTGAATTATTTCTGGAATGGGTAGCACTCAATAGATGGTATTTCTTATTGATGCAGGAAAACATGGATATAGGTGCTGCTTAATAGTTCTCCCAATTCATCAAGTCCCTTGCTGCCCTCAAATTATAAGGAAAATAAACTATCTAAAGAGCCAAGAATCATTAAACACATCATATTGCCTACACATCAAAGGTGTCCATTATTAGAATGAACAGTAGACGTGAGTCCTGGCAGTTACCCATTTTTTACTTTTATCAAGTAGAAAACCCTGTCCAATGAAATCAATCACCTTCATTGCTAAAAAGATGACATAGTATCTTTTGGCTCTTGGACTATTCCTGGACCCTCTACCACATACTTCCTGCTCTTGTCAATGATTACAAGAGCAAAAGGGTTTAACTCTTGGCTCTTCTAACAGGGCTTTCATTTATAGCCTTTTTAGGAATCAGTTCCCTTGTCACCCTCAATATTTTCAATACTTCTCAATTATTTAGGCAAACAATAATTATTGATACAAACTCCCCATCCAAGCCCCAAACAAACCTTGGAGGGCTGAATCTTTGGTGACTGGGCAGACCCTTCTCCAGTAGTTATGACCTGTTTTTGAGGAGATACTGCTATCATGTGACCCCCTTTCACGGTCACATACTGGGGGAGTGGTGACTGGCTGGCAGCTCCTGATGTGGGCACATGGGGGGCTTCGCCAGGTTCCTGTTTGATGATCACCTTACAACAAACATGATAATGATACTAAACAAATATCCCATGAAAAAAAAACTCCTAATATCTGAACCTACTCTGTAGGATGAATGAATTAATGAAGCTTGGTCTATAAAGAATGACTCCACCAAAAGGGTAAAAATTCTGCTTAAACATAGTCCATAACAACAATAAAAGATACTGAAAGTAGGATCTAGATTTGATCTTATGAATCTGCCAAAGTAACCTAATCAATTCTTTCAGATACTGGTAGCAAAAAAGAGATACACAAACTGTGTTCTCTGAATTCCTCATTTTTAAGTTAGACTCCAATATGACTAAATAAATGGAAGCACATCTCAGAAGTAGGATATGATGGTAGAGCTTAGACGTACTAAAAAGTTACATGATATAGGGGTAGTGTCAACCAGCTCCAATATGCCACAAAAATGAGTATGTAACAAGACCACAGAGACTTCAGAAACAATCTCCTAAAATACGTACCTTTGTGAAAGCTCCAAGTCCTCCAGTTATAGGCTTGGGGCTTTGAACCTTTGGGTGACTTCCAATTGGGCAAAGAGGTGGCATGGATGCAAACAAAGAATCCTCCTGCTAAATGTGTAAAAATATGTATCATACAATTAGGGTAAAATGGGTGATTGTGGGTATTCCAGTCAATAAGTATTTATTACAAATCTATGACATTCTGGCAACATAAATAACCAAAAAACAAAACATTCAAAATTCTCTGTGGCCTTCCAAGCCTCAATATCTGCCTTTTAATACTGTTTTAGAGTCAAATGCATAAAAGTCTGTAACTGTGCAAAAACCTATCACCTGTGTCCTGCTGCATACTTGAATGACTTCTTTCACATTACCACGATGAGCTACCTAAAAGACGAAGACTGTATTTTACTCCTTTTATATCCCTAGAGCCTAGGCACTAAATAAACGAATGAACAAATGAAACATGCAGTTGCACTGTTTCAGTATATACTCCTTTTTACTAGCACTCACAACTTCATTTGTAACATTTACTCTGAACAAACACCCTACGATCCAGGATAAAATTTTTCAATAAGGATTTTAAAAAACAAAAAAGCACAACAATTTGTAGATGTAAAAGCAACAAAGGTCAATTAGTTAGTTTATCTAATTCTCCAAAAACGCAAATCTCAGAGACAACTTGCCAATAAAGAAATGTTATAGGCAAGAAACAAATTTAAGAACACTGCTTGACTGTGTAATGAAAAGATCATCAGCAAACATTAAAAATCGACTGGCAGAGAATTAGTTAAGGCTTTCAAGGGAATTATTAAAATTCAGACACTCACCTACACGGTGCTCAGAGATAGCTACAAAATTTAGAGAAAAATCTTGCTTTGAACCAGAAAAGCATCACCATCCCTATCAAATGCCTAAATATAACAAATGCTCTGTTAGCCACTAACTATGTAAGAGAAATCATCTTTGCATTCTTAGGGGTTCTTAGACAGGAATTTTTACCTGAAAGGCTTTAGACTTAAAGCAGCCATGACAAGTAAGCCGAGTAACTAACCAAACAGGAAGTGTCACTGACAAGAAGTGAGATGGTATCTAGCACTCTGATCTGAAAAATCAGATCATATGCGAAGTTGCAAATTTCAGAAGACTAACTAGAGCTGTTTTTCTTGAAGAAGTAAAAAAAAAAAAAACCCAGTGGAGCCATAAGAATTCTCTTCATAAACCAACACACTGACATGTGGAAAAAAAAATTATATTTATCCCATGTTAGATAAAAGAACTGTATCACACATGATTGTTTTTATAAGGAAAACTTTACAATAAAGCTGTTAAAAAGTGGACCACCTCCTCATCACACCAAGTTTTCAAATAGATGCTGGGTGACTACTTGATAGAAATGTTGAAAAGCATTTTCCACACTAGGAAAAGCTCAAGGGCCAGGTAGGGGATGTCTGGAGTATATGATTTTCCATATATTTATTACCCTAAATAATCTGCTTTATGAAATTTGCATTATCAAGGGACAAATTCTTGCTAAGGTTGAATAGACTATCTTTAGAGACTAGCCAAGTGTAATAATGCAATGAGAGGTTACCTTGACAGTAGATGTTACAAAACCACTTCCATGAATTTTAGGAATAGGAGAACCTGTTCCTTGGGAGGCCTGGGAGGCAGTAGGAAGTCTGCTTGTAGGACTTCCTGATAAGCAAGGCAGAATTTAAAATAAAGTATCAACTGAGTGACATTTACAAAGTGGAATTTCACATCATTTTCCTCTACCCTCCCCTCTTTCTATTTTCTAAACTCGTAATTCTGAAACTATTATGCCCTTATATGTTGAAAAATAAGTAAAGGTATGTGGGTATTATATATACTCTCCTCCTTATGTAAGACATACTGCAATATAATGGCATTAGTTGTTTAATAAATATGCCAAAACATACACATTCATGTGAATGCTTGCTCCTTCAAATGGTTTCAGTAGAAGGTTATACCTATTCCAAAATGTTACCAACACTCACACCTTGATCCCCCTGCTCCATTCACCTTCAATAACCATTCAAAGACTTTTGGTTGGTTTCAAAAATTAAACATCCTTACAGGACACCTATCTGGCATCCCTCAAAGTATTCAAATGGTTATTAAGCAAGCTCTGAAAGCATTATTTTCTAGAGAATTTTCCACAATTACAACCACTGTGGAAGCATATACAGCTTTTCCTATTTCAAAGGCCCAACATTCACTCATGTGTGTTAAATCTAATACTTTAAAAAAAATTAATCAGTCTCATTACCTTACAGTCAGCTCTCTTTTTTCATTCATCTTTTCACTATTTCTCTTAATTAGAATTTCAAGTCTACTCTTAGGAGCATGTGTTTAAATATATAGGGTGATCAAAAGGAAGATAAAGTGAGCACTTCAAAAATCTGAAAAGCACTATGTAGTTGTGTAGCATTATGACAAACAAAGTGAATCTAAAAACTTACTTTTCTTTCAATGAGAGTTCCTTTCCTACAACTGAGGTTTCAATTTCTCTCACAGACAAAATTTATTTTATGTACAGAGAAGTAAAGATCACTTTTTATTTAACTTTGTAGAAAGGTATATGGCTTACAAAGCTATTCTTGTACTAAAAGCCCAATCTGGAAAAGTTGTTAACTACATTGCTTGCAGGCCCCAAGAGTAAAGTCCTCCAAATGAATATATTATCAATTAGAAAATAATTTCAAATTATTAGAAAACTGATTTTTTTTTTTTAATGAGTATTCTATTATGGTTTGGGGGTGAAAGTTTATAGAGCAAATTAGTTTCCTATTCAATTCATATACATTTTGTTTCATGACATTAGTTGCAATAAAAGAACACTTTTCCCATTTCCACCCTGGGTTCCCCATTTTCATTTGTCTGTCTTTCCCATCTTCTGAATTTTGATTTTGGGCAAATGCTGCCCTTTTGTCTTATACGGCTGATTGTTTTGAGGAGCACGTTCCTCATGGGTGCTACTATTCACTTTATAGGCCTATCATTTGGCTGAAAAAGTGATCTCTGGGAGTGGGTTCTGTTTCAAGTTTGAAGGGTATCCCAGGGCCATAGTCTTGGATGTACCACCAGTCCCTATGAGACAAGTAAATGTGGTCTTTTTTATGATCTTGAGTTTTGTTCCACATTTTTCTCCCACTGTGCTAGGACTCTGTATTGTGATCTCAATCAGAGCAGTTGGCAGTGGTAGCACCAGCTAGTTCTGGTCTCAAGCTGGTGGAGACTGTACTTCATATGGTCCTTTAGTCCTGTGGACTAGTCCCTTGAGTCACTGATTTTTTTCACTCTTCTTTGCCCCAGATGGAAAGAGACCAATAGTTGTATCTTAGATGTTTACTCCCAAGCTTTTAAGACACCAATCGCTACTCATCAAAGTAAGATGTAGAACACTGTCTTTATGAACTATGTTATGCCAATTGATCTAGATGTCCCGAGACCATGGTATTAAACACTCAGGCCTAGTGATGCATCCAGTTGCCACAGTGTTTGGTTGTAGCTCTGAAGTTTGCATAACTTTGCTTCCTCTATGCTCTTCTAGATACCTGGATGTATTTGCAGCACATACAAATACACACATAGAAATATTCTCTGCCAAACCTATATATGCTCATGGGCATACTCCCATATGCCGTGCCATACCTGTTCAGCTTACATATTTACCTATGTATTCACTCGTAAATTATTGTTTTTTATTTACTATAAGTTATTGCAGGACCGTGTGTGTAACAGTATTCAACCTTTGGTGCTTTTTATACTTGCAAACCTGGAAGCAGTGGGAGACGCTGGAGCAGTGTCTTCCTTTGCCTTGGTCATGTTGTGCTGACCTCCCCCTAAATGTACTGCTTTTCTCTTTACCGAAGTTAATGCATGTCTACTATCTAGTGATTTTCTCTCCCTTCTCCTCTCATCCCTGATAATCATCAGAGAATGTTCCTTTCTGTGTGTAAACCTTCTCTTTTTATATTAGTGGTCTCATACAATAATTATCCTTTTGTGACTGACTTATTTCACTCAGCATGATGTCTTCCAGGTTCATTCATGTTGTGAGATGTTTCATGGCTACACTGTTATTCTTTTAACATTGCCTGGTATTGCACTGTGTGGATGTACCAGTTTGTTTATCCATTCATCCACTGATGGGCACTTAGGTTTTTCTATCTTTTTGCAACTGTGAAAAGTGTTGCAATTAACATGGGTGTACATATGTCTATTTGTGTCATAGCTCTTATTTCTCTGGATATATCCAGAATAGTGGGGTTGCTAGATCATATATGTCTATTTCCAAGTTTTTAAGGAAGCCCCATACCATTTTCCACAATGGTTGTGTGATTATGGTTTACTTTTAATCCTTAGAAATTAAAAAGAAAGCTTGAGAGTCCTAAAAATTTAACTTTTAAAAACAGTAAATACCCCATAAAGAAACAACTTTGGCATTACTTTTGTGTATTTACCTCGTTTATGGATGGAGATTCTATTCTTTCACTACATGACTACTAAGTCATGCCAAGATTTCATCTTTAATAAGAAATCAAATCTTCTGGGTACACAAATATTGATCAAATACACACCTGTACTGGGAGCGGTAGTGCCAATGACCTGCCCAGGTTTGTCCATGATAACGTAAGGATTACTAGTAACAGAGCTGGCAGTGCCTTGCTTCACATGGACTGGAGTAGAAGTTGGGGTTCGAGGCAATGGTGACGGACTTGGAGTTGATATTGGAGAACCTTTAGTAATTAAAAAAAGAGAAGAGAAAGAAAATACATAAACTCAGAGAATCTAAGAAGAAAATAAAGGGGCAGGGCTGCCAAGACATAGGTGACAAATTGGGAAAAGAAAGCAAGAGCAGGACAGCTGGCTTCAGGTACTTAGCAGCGGCAGCACAGCCAAGGCCATGAAGTAACGTGCCTCTCCCTCTACCTCCTTATCTGTAGACCAGCAGCAGCGAGCAAATTTTCAGGACCCCCTCAGACCTACTGAATATACATCAGCATTTTAACAAGATCTTCTGGTGATCTACATGCACATTACGTAACAAAGCAGAACTGCTGAATCCTGAAGATAATACATTTCTTATCACCAAAGACAGATTGCCATAATATTGGTTACCCATTGTCAAGTCAATTCCAACTCATATGCACCCTACAAGACAGTGCAGAATTGCTCCATAGGGTTTCCAGGCTGCAATCTTTACAGAACCAGACCGCCACATCTTTCTCTAGTGGAGTAGTTGGGTGGATGTGAATGGCCGACCTATCGGTTAGCAGCATGTGATTTTAGCCACTCCGTCAGGGTTCCTTTGTAACACTGGGAACACATTACATTTAGGGAGGGAAATAGTAAGTGAAAAGTAAACAGCTGGATTTTGGAACCAGGTGTCCTGATTTACAACTAGTTTCCAATTTGAAAATGTGAAATTCACTAACCAAGACAAAACTCTGTCAATATTATGTCACAGCCAAAATCCAGAGAGATTAGAGGTCCCAAAGAATACTTTCAAAAGTTAATTATGTATTGCCAACCATTTTTCTAAACTACAAATCAATTTATAGGTTCAATTATTCCCTCTCTAAAGCAGCAAGTTTCAAAACATTTCTTAGTGGTAGGTAAAGTTATACGTGCTTCTACCTATCCTAAATTTAACTTTTCTGAGCTTTATGGGAAATGTTCTTGACTCTTTCTGGTTTAAATAAATCCATGTTTATTCTAAAATTTTTGGTCAATTTTAATAACTTGGCACATATTTCTGTTCAATTGTCTAATTTTAGCATTTGTTTTGCTAAGAAGCTCTCTCATTCCCTGGATATTTCTAATTACCCCTTTCATAGCATTCCTGAGTTGATATAGCCAAAACCATAAATCAAACTTTGATGAAGATCCCTACTAGAAATTCATCTAACATAGATGTGAATCTGCCATGAGGCAAAGAACTATCCAACTTCACAATTACAAACGAATAATTAATTTTCTAGAGTCATCAAAAAGGGATTAAAAGATAACCGAACTCCAAACCAATTCCAACCCTTGAAGCTTAACTCTGAAACAAAAGGCCTCTAACGTTTTTCCAGTTTCCATATGTAACCCCAAAACTCAATTCCTACTGTAGTTTGACTATCTACCATTGCAAAAGTTTTACCTGTGATGATTTGTGTGTGTGTGTGTGTGTGTGTGTTATGTGTCGCGGTAGCAAACATTATGAAAATTCTAAATTTAATTTTCCCACATTCAATAACTGTTTCCATATGAATGACTTTGCCCCCAAATAAGAGCTATCAATAGTGATTAGGAAACTTCTGTTTAACAATCAAGTAACTTACTTAGAAGAACTTCAGGAAAAAAATCTCAAAGTGCTTTGTTTTTATTATTCCAGCTATATTTACATCCAGTCAACTCTATACACAACATCTTCTGCATACCTGAGACAATCTTGCAGCTCATGGTGATGGGCTGGAAGGACTTTCCAGGTGATTCAGGATTTGGAACCTGACTTTGTGGTACAATTTTGCAGCTTGATGCTATTGGCTGGAAAGCAGAATTGCCATGAGAACAAAAGGTAACTTTCTGGGATGTTATTTTGGTGGGTGTTCGTTCCAATGAAGAAGGTAAAGAATAAAATGTAGTATGTCTCTCAGGGTCAGTGTTAGCTGGGAATCCTGATTGAAATAAAATAAGCAAATGATAAGTCACAAGTCACTTGGAAATAATAAAATCTTGCCATTATGACAAAAAAAAACAAGAAAAATCCCTTATTTTAATATCCATTTATCATCAGTAAAACAATCAACAGTCTTATACCACCTTTATATATAAATACACACACACACACATTTTTTTCTCCCAGTGTTCCCACTCCTCCTCTCCCACCCCTGGTAACCAACAAAGAAAGTTTCCTTCCATATATAAACCTTTCCTTGACTTTTCACAATAATGAACTAATACAATATTTATCCTTCTGTGATTGACTTATTTAACTCAGCATAATGTCCTCCAAGTTCATCCATGTTATACAGTGTTTTATAGATTCTACATTACTCTTTAGGGTTGTATAGTATTCCATTGTGTATATATACCATAGTTTGGTTATCCATTCTTCTGTTGATGGGCACCTAGGTTGTTTCCATCTTTTTGCTATTGTAAATAGAGCTGCAATAAACATGAATGTGTAAGGCTGTCACTTCTTTGATACATATACCTAGTAATGGCATTGCCGAGTCAAGTGGTATTTCTAATTTCAACTTTTTAAGGAATCGCCATCTGCTTTCCACAGTGGTTGTATCATTTGACAGACCCACCAGCAGTGTATGAGAGTCCCAATCTCTCCACATTCTCGCCAGCACTGTTATATTCTGTCTTGTTGAACTCTGCTATTAGTGCTGGGGCCAGGTGGTATTTCATTGTTGTTTTGATTTGCATTTCTCTTATGGCTAATGAAGGAGTTCTGGTGGCACAGTCCTAAGGCATTTGACTGCTAACCAGAAAGTTGGCAGTCCAAACCCACCAGCCACTCGCAGAAGGAAGACTGGGCAATCTATTTCCGTAAAGATTTACCACCTCAGAAACCCAAAGGGGTTGCTGTGAGTAAGAATTGATTCGCTGGCACTGAGTCTGGTTTAATGGCTAATGAACATTTCTTAGTGTGTTTGTTGGCCGCCTGATTATCTTCTTCGCAGAAATGTCTATTCATGTCTTCTGCCCATTTTTTAATTGAATTGTTTGCCTTTTATGGTGTTGACGTGTTGGAGTTTTCTATAAATTTCAGAGATAAATCCTTCTCAGACAGGTTGTTGCTGAATATTTTTTCCCAATCTGTAGATTCTCTTTTTACTCTTTTGGAGAAGTTTTTGAAGCACATAAAAATTTATTTTTGTGAAGGTCCCAATCATCTAGTTTATCTTTGGTTATTTATGCATTTTGGGTTATGCCTGATAGTCTATGCCATAAATCAGGGCTCCTAAGTTTGCTCCTATTTTTTCTTTGATGAACTTAGTAATTTTAGGTTTCACATTTAAGTCTTTGATCCATCTGGAGTTAGTTTTTGTATATGGTATAATATACAGATCTTGTTTCCTTTTTCTGCAAATGGTTATCCAGCTTTGCCAGCACCATTGTGAAAGAGACCATCTCTTTCCTATTTAATGGATTTCAGCCCTCTGTCAAAAATCAGCTGACCACAAGTGGATGGATTTATTTCTGGGTTCTCAATTCTGTTCCACTTGTTTGTGTGTCTGTCATTGTACCAATACCAGCCTATTTTGACTACTGTAGCTGTCTAGAAGGTTTTGAGATCCGAGAGTGTGAGTGAGATCTCCTACTTTGTTCTTCTTCTTCAATAGGGCTTTGCTTATCTGACCTCTCTTTCCTTTCCATGTAAAATTAGTGATTGGTTTTTCAATATTCTTAAAGAATGTTGATGGGATCTGGATTGCAATTGCATTGAATGTATACATTGCTTTGGGGAGAAACGACATTTTCACAATGTTCAATCTTCCTATCCACAAGCATGGTAGGTTCTTCCATATATGTAGATTTCTTACAGCTTCTTGAAGGAATATTTTGTAGTTTTCTTTGTACTGTTTTTTTGTGTCCCTAATGAAATTTATTCCAAAGTATTTTATTTTGTTGGTAGTGAATGTAAATGGTGTTGATTTCCTTACTTCTGTTTCAGTAATCTCTTTTCTGGTGCAGAGGAAGCCAAATGATTTTTGGATGTTGATCTTGTATCCTGCCACCATGCTAAATCTCTCAATTGGTTTCAGTAGTTTTTTTGTTGAGTCTCTTAGGTTTTTTAGGTATAGGATCATATCATCAGCAAATAGGGATAGTTTTATTTCTTCCTTACCAATTTGGATAACTTTGATTTCCCTTTTTTGCCTTACTGTCTTGGCTAGGACTTCCAACACAATGTTGAATAGAAGTGGTGATAGAGGGTATCCTTGTCTGGTTCCTGCTCGAAAGGGGAATGGTGCCAGTCTCTCTCCACTAAGAATAATGTTGGCTGTTGGTTTTGCATATATTCCCTTTATCATGTGGAGGAATTTCCCTTCTGTTCCTATTTTGCTGAGAGGTTTTTATCAGGAATGGGTGTTGGATTTTATTAAATGCCTTTTCTGAATTGATAGATACGATCATGTGTTTTTTTTTTTCCCCTTTGTTTTATTTATGTGATGGATGACGTTGACTGTTTTCTTAATGTTGAACCATCCTTGCATACCTGATATGAACCCCACTTGATCATAATGTATTATTTTTTTTTTCATATGTTGTTAGAGTCTATTGGCTAGGAAGTAGTTGAAGACTTTTGCATCTATATTTATGAGGTATATTGGTTTGTAGTTTTCCTTTTTAGTGATGCTTCTGCCTGGTTTGGGTATCAAGGTTATATTTGCTTCATAAAATGAATTTGGGAGGATTCCATCCTTTTCTATGTTCTGGAATAATCTGAGTAGGACTGATGTCAGTTCTCTGAATGCTTGGTAGAGTTCTCCAGTGAAACCACCTGCGCCAGGACTTTTGTTTGTCAGTAATTTTTTTATGACCTGTTCAATTTCTTCTTTGATTATGGGTCTGTTCAAATTTTCCACTTCAGTCTGTGTTAATTAAGTAGTATGTTTCTAGAAATCTGTCCATTTCCTCTAGATTTTCAAATTTGTTTGTACATAGTTCTTCATAGTATACTGACATTATCCTTTTTATTTCAGTTGGTTCTGTTGTGGTATCACCCAATTTGTTTCTTATTCATGTTATTTGTAATGTCTCTCTTTTTCTTTGTTAAATTTGTCAGCAGTTTTGTCAATTTTATTAATCTTTTCAAAAAACCAGCTTCTAGTCTTGTTGAGTTTTTCTACTGTCTATTTTCTGTTTCATTTATTTCTGCTTGAAGCTTTAATATTTCTTGTGACTATAGGCTTTTTATGCTGCTCTTTTTTAATTGTTGGGGATGCTGGGTTAAGGTGTTGATTTGGGCTTACTCTTCTTTTTTGATGTGTACATTTACTGCTATACATTGGTCTATGATCACTACTTTTGCTGTGTCCCAAAGATTTTGGTATATTGTGTTTTCATTCTCATTTGATTCAAGGAATATTTTTTACTTCATTTTTTATTTCTTCTGTTACCCATTCATTTTTAAGAAGCATGTTATTCAGTTTCTATGTGTTTGCTCTTTTTCCACCAATCTTTCTATTGTTGATTTCTAATTTTATAGCATTGTAACCTGAGAAGATGCTTTGCAGTATTTCAATGTTTTTAAATTTATTAAGGATTGCTTTATGGCCCTAGAATATGGTCTATCCTGGAGAACATTCCAAGTGCACTGGAAAAGAATGTATATTGTGCGGCTGTCGGGTGAAGTGCACTGTAGGTGTCTATAAGGTCAAGTTGGTGGATTGTATTTGTCCAGTTCTTCGTCTTTGTTGAATTTCTTTCTAGTTTTTCTATCTTTCACTGAAAGTGGAGTATTAAAGTCTCCTATTATGACTGTGGAGTCATCTATTTGCCTTTTCAATTATGTTAAAGTCTGCTTTATGTATCTTGGGGTTCTTTCAATGGGTGTATAGATATTTAGTATGGTTATGTCTTCTTGTTCAAGCAATCCTTTAACATTATATAATGTCCTTCCTTGTCTCTCAGGGTCATTTTGGTCTTAAAGTCAGTTTTAACAGAAATTAATACAGCCACTCCTGCTCTTTTACGGCTGCCATTTGCTTGATGTATCTTTTTTTCAACCTCTGATATTTAGTCTATTTTTGTCTTTCTCTCTAAAGTGTGTCTCTTGTAGACAGCAGACTGATGGGTCATGTTTTCTTATCCAGTCTGCAACTCTCATCTCCTGAGTGGTGCATTTAATCCATTAACATTCAGGGTAATTATTCACAAGTATGAATTTGTTGCTGTCATTTTGTTATGCGTTTTTTTGTAATGCTGTTGATTTCTTTGTTCCATATGATATTCTGTGCTGAGCTCATTTTGTTTATGAATCATGTTATTACTTCCTTCATTGCCATTGTTTTAGTATTTGCTAAATAATTTGTGCTTGTCTTTTTTATTTTGATGCAAATGTTTTTCTTTTCCTTTTTTTTTTTTTTGAGGTTACCCTGTGATTTATAATTTTCTTCCCAAGTTTAGAGCAGTCTGTTCTATCTTGCAATTGTCTTGACTTCCTCACCAATTAGAAGTTCTGCAATTACATAATTTTTCCCCTCCTTTTGGTTTGCAGTTGTCCTCATTTGCCAATTCTTATCTCTGATTCTGTGTTTACACTCTTGTAAGCTTATTTACTTTGGGTACTTCTAGCACTGGGTTGGTTCCTAGGTTATGTCATCATGTGTGTTAAGGGTTGGATGTCATTTGCCATTGTTGGTTCTCTGTCCAAAGGACTCCCTTTAGCATCTCTTATAAGGTTGGTACTGGTTTTCAAAAATTCCCTTCATTTCTGCTTATCTAGAAATGTCCTAATTTCAATATCATATTTGGGGGACAGCATAGCTGGATATATAATTCTCGGTTGGAAATTTTTTTATTTCAGGGTTATATTTACCATCCCATTGCCTTCTCACCTGCGTGGTTTCTGACAAGAAATCAGAGCTTAGTCTTATTGGTTGTCCTTTGTAGGTAACTTTTTGTTTTTCCCATGCTGCTTTAAGGATTCTTTCTTTGTTTTTGGTTCTGGTGAGTTTGATGATACGTCTTGGTGATTTTCTTTTGGGTTCTATGCTGTTTGGGGTTCACTAGGCTTCTTGAATGGATATATTCTCATCTTTCATCATATCAGGAAAATTCCCTTCCAACAAATCTTACATTATTTTCTCTACGGTTTTATTTGTTTCCTCCTGTTCTGGAGTTCCAATTATATGTCAGTTATTCCTTTTGATGGTATCGCACATGAACCTTAGGCTTTCTTCATTTTGTTTTGATCTTTTTTCTAATTGATCCCTTTCAAAAGAAGTATTCAGATATTTGTCTTCAATCTCATTAATTCTGTCTTCCATTATTCAATTCTACTCCTTTGCCCATCCAATGTGTTATCTATTTCTGAAAATTCAGTATTAATCTTCTGATTTCTACTGTAGGTTTTGTATCATTTTTAATTTTTCATTTATTTTGTTATTTTGTTCTTGTATTGTCTTCCGAAATTGTTCTAGGATTTTCTCTGAGTTTTCCTCAATTCTGTCAGTGTTTTCCTTGATCTGTCTCTCAATCTGTTGAAGGTACCTAAATATAAGTCTTTTGAATTCCTTATCGGTGAGTTCCAATGCTGCTTCTTCCTCCAGGATGTGTTCTGGGTCTGTATCCTAGTACCTTGTTTCTACTGCTTTATCTTGCTTCTTTGTATAGACTGTGATGCTCTGTTGTCTCTAAGACATTGTGACATTTTTATGTTTGTATTTAATTGGTGATTGTATGCTGGAGTGATTTGCCCAAGACTTTTGTTTTCTTTGGATGGTATCTGAGTAAGCAGGGTACTGTGCTCCTCTATTCGCTAGCTGGCAGCACATACGCACTCACCACCTATCTCCTTTCCAGTTGTCAGCCTCCCATATGTCCATGCCATCCTTGTCAAGCAGAGCCTATTCTAGGTCCCAGGAATCTGAATGAGAATGCTGTTGCTTTAAATATCCAAAATGGCTGCCACCTGTGAACATTCAAAATGGCTGCACCCTCAGTCACTTTAAATATCCAAAATGGCTGCCACCTGTGAACATTCAAAATGGCTGCACCCTCAGTCACTTTAAATATCCAAAATGGCTGCCACCTGTGAACATTCAAAATGGCTGTACCCTCCAGACAGCTGAAAGTCCACAGCTCAGTTTGTCTCCTTCCTTGGTGTTTTTCCCTTTCTAGTCATTAGCCACCAATGCAGTCGTCCACATACCCCTTGGTGAACAAGGCCAATTTTTCGGTTAATTCTCAGGTCCTAACCCCATTTGGAACTACTCAGGCTGTCCGTGCCATCAGGATCGCTGATAGTCCGCAGCTCCATATGTCTCCTTATTCACTGTTTTCATTGAGGCTTTTCTACTAATTGGTGTTTAATCCATTTCTGTATGCTTCCTTTCAAAGCTCAGGGCTCCAGAATTATCTTCTGTATCTGTGTCAATTGGTTTCTCTTTTCTTTGTTGAAGAGGGTCCTGTGTAGCTTGTCTGCCTATTCTGATATCTTACTGGAGATCTTACTATACCTTTATATGTTTTGGGGATGAAAAATAAACATTATGCCTAGAATTTAATTAAAATCTTTATTATTAATTAAAATTAGAAAACACATAATCTATAAATCTTATCTAATATAAAAAGCACATAAATCCATTATGTTCTTCCATTTTTTACAGATGAAATGAAAAACTTTTTAAATTGGAGAAAGAGGAAAAACTCATCACTTAATCTAATGACAGTCCATCTTATTAAATGTTCTTAAAAAAGATGCAAATGAAATCTAAAAAGGAATAAAGTTAGGATTTCATAAAAGAACTAATAACATCACAGTAAAATATAGACTTTGAGATAAAACTAACACCATCTAGAATCAATTTTATATCTTATATATGTACAGATTTTATATTTTTATATGTATAATTTTATATCTTATATGTATCTTTTTTATGTACGGATTACACTTCAACATAAGGAAAACAAAAATCCTCACAACTGGACCAATAAACAACATCATGATAAATGGAGAAAAGAGTGAAGTTGTCAAAGATGTGATTTTACTTAGATTAACAATCAACACCAACGGAAGCAGCAATTAAGAAATCAGACATCGTATTGCACTGGGCAAATCTGCTGCAAAAGACCTCTTTAAAGTGCTGAAGAGCAAAAATGTCACTTTGCAGACCTAGGCGCACCCAACCCAAGCCATGGTGTTTTCAATTTCATCATATGCATGTAAAAGTTGGACAATTAATAAAGAAGACCAAAGAAGAGTTGATGTTTTTGAATTGTGGTTTTGGCAAAGAATACTGAAAGCTCCATGGACTGCCAGAAGAACTAACAAATCTATCCTGGACGAAGCACAGCCAGAATGTTCCTTGGAAGCGAGAATGGCCAGACTTCGTCTCACCTATTTTGGTCATGTTGTTAGACAGGACCATCCCCTGGAGAATGATATCATGCTTGGTAAAGTGGAGGATCAGTGACAAAAAGGAAGGCCCTCAATGACACAGTGTTTACAACAATGGGCTCAAGTATATAGCAAGGACTGTGAGGCTGGCACACGACTGGGCAGTGTTTTGTTCTGTTGTAAAGAGTTGCTATGAGTCAAAGCTGACTCAAAGGCAACTAACAACAACAACATTTATGTACATTCTGAAATACTTTTATATACTTATGTACTTATAAAGGAGCTCTGGTAGCATAGTGCCTAAGGCACTTAACTGCTAACCAGAAGGCTGGCAGTTCAAACCCACCAGCTACTCCTCAGAAGGAAGGTTGGATAATCTACTTCTGTAGTGCTATCGCCTCGGAAACACAAGGAGGGGTTGCCATGACTCGGGTCCGACTCGACGACACATAACAACAACAACAAGTACTTATAAAATGCAAACATTCCATGGTCACAAGGTATTTTTGTTGATGATGACTCATAGTTTTTAGATGATTAGGTGCTTAATTTTAAAGTTTCCTATTTACCTAATCAGGAGTCAAACAGGAAAGTCTTTTCCTAAGATATTAAAAGAAATCATTAAATTCCCAAAGAATAAAAATCCAATGCTTTTTAGTAACTTCTGCATTGTATATTAATAGAACTTTATGAAAAACAATTTTTCTGGGGTCAGTAGGAATTTTGTGATTTTTCACAATAGAACTGTGTGATAGAAGCAACATGTCTATTTATGGAAAAGGTATTTTCCATACATTCCAAGCCTCTGAAAGCAGCAGTTCAGTATCATATCATGTAAGAAAGAAAGTACTGCCCAGAATGACTTCATACAAGAAAAAATGCTATGTTACCTTTCTCCACAGGGGTATCAGGTACTGGCTCATGTGACTGCTTTATCGGTGAGGAAGCTTTCACTGGGGCTGGAATGGTTAAAGGCAAAGATGGAGGGGCATCAGAGACGTCTGATTCAGAGGACTGAGGATAAATGTAGTCTTCTCCAAGAGAATGCCGATGGAGCTCAACATCCACTACCTATATGATCAGGCAACAATCGGGCTCATGAGTCCATCATCAATGTCACAGAAAGCCCAAATCCTCTCACAGAATGTGGTACTCTTCAGATCTTCTTCATAGCCCTTATTTGTATCCAAAATTATTGTGCTACCTCAATACTACCAAGACTATTATAACACCTTGACAGTAGAGCCTACCTTGTTCATTTTGGTATCCCCAGCACCTGGATCAGTACGCTAGCATACAGTAGGTGCTCAATAAATAAATTCTGATATAACACAGCATGTTTCCCCCAGACAAAGTAATAATATGTAACTATGTGACTTGTTATAATAGCTACTGTTACTGTATCATGAATGAAGAAAAAAAAA